AACCAACAATCCAGAAAGATATGGACTTCCCTGCCTCTCCACAGAGGGGCTGACCACAGTCCCCAGCTCATGGACTGCACACTAAGGGGTGTGAGGCAATATCTCCTCTAATCTTTTCCATCCACGTGCAGAATAAATTTATACATGCATGGAGGCATATACAAATGTGCACCACTACTAGAAACAAATAGTCTAGCTATAAATACTCCATTAATCAGCTGAACGGCACTGGAATTTCTCCTGGATGGTCACACAAAGCTCCCTCTTACAGGGAACACTGGTGTGAGGTGAAAATTAAGCTGGCTGCAAGAAGCAGTTGGGGGCACTGTGGACTATGCTGTAAATTTCTTTTCTCTGTGCTAACCAAGGTGTGTTCCAGGTGACTAAAACTCTCTGGTGTGACAACGCAGCTGAGTGTCACTGCAGATGCTGACAGAGGAGGGGCACTGGTCCTAAGACTGTACAAGTCTCCCTCAAGGGCCTGCCTTAGCTGGACTCGCTGAACAGAGGTCATGGTGTGACGCAGGAGGGCTAGAGAACCAGAAGGCCACCAGTGAAGCCAGGTGGCTTGTCCAGGAGGAGGAGTGTGACCGTCTAGGAAGTCTGGTTCACCGAAGGGTCCTTCTAGAGACTACTCCAAAGCTGGGGACATAGCACTGGTGCTGTGGATCCATAACACAGGGCCCCAAATGTTCCAGTACAAAGAGGCCACACAAGCAGCTGGCCTGGGCCTACGGGCTGCGTATTTCCATATACCTTTCTGTGCTCATCCCCCTCAGGGAAAGGGTCAGAGAAGCCACACATGGTCTGAGTTCCCCCATGCTAGGGCCCACAGGTAAGCAACACAGCTCTCGTGCTGCTGGGTGGGGTTTTTACCCCTTCCCTCTGAAGCTGGTCATGGTTAGACACACTGGACTAAGAGGACATTCGTTTCTGATGCACTTTCCTATATCCCTATGACAGAGCTGATAGTCCGAAGGGTAGCACTCAACAGGGCACACCTGGACCGTGAATGGAGTACTGTCCCCGTCAGCCGGACAGTACGTTTAAGGAGCAGACAGCAGTATGGGACAGTCTCAGACAGGACTTGCTGAATTCCTTACAGACATCCCTCAAAGGCTGGGGACAGACGCAGGCCTAGGCCAAAAGCACTCCACTCTAGGACAGTGCCAACAGATGCTGGCTCCGAAATTCAAGTGCTTATCTGAGCTGTCCAACCCAGCTGAGCCTTCAGCATCAAAGAGAAGGGGATGAAACTCTAAGAGAAAGGGGAGCGTTCTGGGGTGGTAGCTGCTTCTATCTGAGAAGCAGAACAGCAAGGGCTGCACAGAAAGCGGAAACTGAACCATAAAACTAGACGTAAGAGTTTGGTTCAAGGTTTGGGGGGGGGGTCTGACGGGAGGAAGGAAAGGATTCTTGTTCGATATGTTGCTACTTTCAGCTGCAGGAGTGCTGCCAAGTGGGCAAAGTGGGGGAGGGATGCCCAATCCAGGCCGCTGGGAAGGGTAGGGATGGGGCTAGTCTCCCCCCACAGCGCTGGGGCTAGCCTCCCCCCACCAACTTTTTAGCACTGCCCAGAGCTCCGGCAGTGATTTAAAGAGCCCGAGGTTTCCCAACTTTTTAGTGCTGCCCAGAGCTCCGGCAGTGATTTAAAGAGCCCGAGGTTTCAGCCACTGCTGCATTAGCAGCACCAGGGAGCCCTGGGCCCTATAAAATCACCGGGCCCCCAGGCAACTCCCCCTTTCTCCTTTCCTTCCCCACCCCTGGTCAGAGGCACTGTGTGCTAGAATTTTGTTACAGTGCTGCCTTCTAGTCAAGGCACACGGTGGAGTGGAAACCCAAGAAGAACTCTGCGCTCAGTTCAAGCAGAGATAGGGCCATGGCAGCTCTTGGGCTGCTTAAGGAACATCGAGAGATTTGCAAGACGAGGAACAGGAGAGGTTCATTAATTGCCCTTGCTGTGTCTATTTACTCCCATTAAACCCTACAAGATCCAATCCGGACAATGCCCAGGACTCCCATTTTCTCTGAAGTGGAGCTGCTCAGCATCACTCAGGATGGAACCCTTATTCAGCTGATGTAAGAGCAAAGTGCCCCATCAGATATTATGGCTGGGGGCCTTGTCTGAATGGTGTAAGAGGGATACCATCAAATTGCGAGTTTTAACCTCATATCACTGTCCTAGCTCATCCCCTTCACACTCCTGAACTTGGAGGGCAGCACATGGCAGTGTTTTCTGTGCAGTCACCATCCCACATGAGGATGTGGCATAAGAGTGGACAGAAATACACAACTCCGATAGCTTGCTGCCTTCAAGAGAGAAAGGCTGTTGCAGGGAGGGGTGGGATGATGCAGAGATAAGGACTAAACACCAGCTCTGATGGAGCAGAGTTACAAGATGAATCTAGACGAGAGGATCACTCTCAGGGCACTGGGCACTCCTGGGAGAGGATAAGGGGGGGCTGGAAAGGCAGGACACAGCCCTCCATCATGAAACAGAGAAGAAGAGACCAGCAAGCAGAGGACAATTTGCGACAGCAATTGGAATTCCGGGGAGCCAGGGGGTGACTTCAGAGAGCAGCCACCAAGGGCCAGAGAGCTGAAGCAGAGAAAGAAATAGAAAATCTGACTCATCCACCATGAGCAATCAGAATGGAAGCAGATCAAGTACAAACTTGGCCCCTTTGGGGGGCCTGGGTACACACCAGTGCTGGCATCCAGTCAGGAGGCTATGGAAGCAGATCAAGTACAAGCTTGGCCCACACCAGTGCTGGCATCCAGTCAGGAGGCTATTCTCCGGCATTGTGCCACAGGTGATGGGTGCATTGCTTATTGTGCCTCAGGCAGCGAGACCCAGGGGTTGCTCCCTACATGTTCCATCTTTGAGCCAGGCTGCCTAGCTGTCCCCAGTCCTCCTGGGAGCCGGGGCTTCCGCACCACCTCTGCCTGGACAGGGCACATCCTCGCCAGAGCCATTTGCCTTATTTGGTGCTCAGGAGCTCAGATCCTGTACAGTTTCCAAGCGGTTGCCATGGTGATGAAACGTAACCCAAAATGATGTTATTGTGGCAAAAGCAGGCAGCTCTGGGAGCTGAGTTTGTGCTGGGTAACAGTTCCTCGGTCAGCACTGTTCCCTCGCTCCCCTCCACCTCCACATGCAGCGAGCTCCCAGGCCGCAGCCTCTGCACAGTCAGATGTGATTTCCCAGAATGCCTTGAAAGTAACACCGTAGGGCACGGATGCTGCCAGTTTGAGCCCCACAAAGGAGCCCGGGGTTGGGTTCATGGCTGAGGGGGCTAGAGGTCACCATCTCTGCTGCACTGGTGGGGCTCAGTGATGGAAAGGAAAGCCCCCAAATAGAACGGGGTCAACAAAGCATCACCACATCCACAGCATTCAGGAGCCAACACTTCACCACAAGGTTCTCCATGGCCAATTCCAAGCCCTCACCGTGTACCAGAGGCAGCACGGATGACCCAGCATCAGATGCAGGAGCGTCTTCAGGAAGAGAACTGGCCATAGATAAGCTATGTAAAGCACTGATCCCCTTCTCTTCTACTTCCCCTTTCTGCCCCTTAGAGGATCTAGGGTGGGAGCTGAGTGGAAGCCAGAGCTCTGCTCCTTCTCGTTCCTGGGGCTGCTGGGGGCAACCCAAAGAAGTTCCATGCAGAAATGCATCCAGATGCGACCCTCATCTGAAAATCCAATGTGAAAACAAATGCCAGGCAGGGGAGAGGAGAAAGTTCCATGCAGAAATGCACCCAGATGTGACCCTCATCTGAAAATCCAATGCAAAAACAAATGCCAGGCAGGGGAGAGGAGGGCTGGCTTATTTTCCAACCTACATACTGCCCAAGCTGCCAAGTCACCATCAGGGAATGCCCTGCTGGGTGAATTCCTCTATCCAACCAGTCAGCAGTGACAGAAAACACATAAGTTCACAGCCCCAGAGAGGAGAAATTCCATCCCAGGGGTCAGATTCCAAATTGATGGGTTTCTCCCCTACGCTGTCCATACAGGAGACATAGGCAGGAACAAATGGGTCACAGGCAGTCCCAGCTTTTACCATTTATAGTCAAAGCAAGTGCAACGTTGTCACTGGGTCCCTGGAGAGCACAACTCCAGCCCCCAAATCTCCCAGCTCAGTCTGGCCTTCATTATTTTCCGTTCATACTCATTATCTCCAGAGTCATCTCATGCAGGGAAACTGGAGCCCTGTGGAATTTCTTCCAGGGTCCTGCGAGGACTTGAGAACAGCCAGGGACGCTTTCTCCGCTTTACACCCTCCTTCCACCTCTGCACTCATGCCCCCCAGCCAAGAGGATACTGTTCAAAGCTTTGCAATCGGCTGTGGGGCTGGCCTGTGTTTAAATAGGTGATGCCATTTTGCACAGAGGAGGTGAAGAAGGTGTGGCATTTTCCCCAGCAATCTAAACCCAAGCGCTTCCAAGCCTGTTCCAGGCTATAGGTCCTTCCCAGATACACAACCCTGCATATCCCCTTACAGTGCAAGCAGCATGCACAGAGGGAACCAGGCCTGGGAGGAAAGCAGAAAAGTAACTCAGCCAGACCTGAAAAACCAGATGGGGAGGGGAACAGCCAGGGCTTTAATGCAGCTGCTGCAGCACTGGCTGAGACTGGGAGTTTTAGAGCCAGGCTAATATGCACGAATACAGCACTTTTGTCTTCAGTTTGGAAAGGAGCAGTGACCTCAGAAAGCGACATCCAGAAATTATTTCATGTCATCATAGCTGCCCTGGCTCCTTCACCTAAGCACCCTGCACACCCAGGCATGGGGCCAGCTGCCCACTTCTTATTATGACTGGATTAACTCAGCAGATGATCCCATCCCTCTTTGGGGACCCACAATAGTCCTGGGGAAGCACCAATGTAAGGAGACAGTCCATTCTTGGCTTCCACTCTAGTTCAGTTCAAGGGGTCCAGTCCCTGGAGAGAATTCTGGGTCACAGTGAATGACAGGGGTCTACGCCTGGGGTTACCTGTGGGGTTGGGGGTTCTACCTTCCTCTTCTTCTTCTGGTTCTGCTTGTTTGTCCTTGGGTAGACGATCAACATCTCCAGCCACCTGCAAACAAACAAAGAGCTATGGTGAGAGCTCAAGGAGCAAGAGGGGTAGCAACAGCAAGGCGCTGGCGGGCAGCCTGGGACAGGGCTCACTCCCAGCAGAACTCAGTGCCCTCTGGTTCAGGACTCCCAGTCACTGAGGCGGGCTGAGGAAGAGCTTCGTTTTTAAGATATGCATTGTTTTACTTTGCCCCCTCTCGGCTGAACACAGAGCCATGACAAATGCGGTCTAAGCTCTCAGCTCCTCGAGTAACAATGCTTTATGCTTAGCTGCTATTGTAAAAGGATGTGGGGGAGCCAGAATATAGGTTTGGGGATAGCACAGAACACACCCAATGACATCCAAACCCAGCTAGGATTCAGAGTGCAAGCCCCTCGGGTATCATGGATATATGCCAATCCATGTGGACACTTGGTGGTCCCTGGTTAAGGGGTGATGATCACAGTCTAAGAATTTGACGGAGAACTCTTCAAACAAGGTATAATGTGATCCAATGGCTAGAAGATAAAACTGGACAAATCCAGCCTGGAAATCAGGTGCAGTTTTTAGCAGCAAGGGTAATTAAGCATTGGAACACCCCAGCAAGGGGTGTGGTGCATTCTTCATCACTAGCAATATTTAAGTCAAGACTGGATGGTTTGAGTTTTTTTTGTTTTTTGTTTTTGTTTTTTTTAATATATTCTAGCACAGAGGTTCCCAAACTTTTTTTGCTGCACCCCCCCCAAGACTCATGTCCCCATGTGTGCCCTCTCTATCTTCTCTCATCCCCAAGCCATTGGCTTAGCGCCCCCCCCCCCCACCACATTCTCCCAGCCAGTGGCCCCCTCCTCCAGCTCCAGCCAGCCCCTCTGCCCCCACAGCTGGGCTGCCTTCCCTATTGAACTGTGTCTGCTAACTCCACTCACTGGCTCCAGCCACTTCCTCCATGAAGCTGCTGCCACTGTAACATGGATCCAGGTCCCTGTATCACTGCCACCAGCCCAGCATTCAGAGCGGGGGCAGTAAAAGGCACTGCAGAATCAGTTTTGGACTTCAAACCCAAATTCCCCTCCCCCAAACACATGCCCATTGTCATTCCAGTCATCCCTTCCCTTGTTTACCAGTTGCTGCCACTGTACCTACCTCCAGAGAGGTGCTATCTGAGCCAGTTTCTGCTTCCTGGAAAGTAGCAAAGATGTAGGAATGTTCTACTTTACACCACCCTCCTGATAAACAAGGGGCACTCCCTCCAGTTAGAAAACCTATACTCTAGATCAAACAGGAATTAACTCAGGGAAGTCCTAGGGCCTGTGCTCCACCAGAGGTCAGACTAGATAACCACAACGATCCCGTCCAACTGTACAATTCATGACTCTACATTGTAATGAGTGAGCCTTTTCATCCTGATTGCGAGGTCAACTGCAGGGAGGGAGTGAACATTCAGAAAGTGTCACAGCCACACAGAACAGCAAATGTTGACGGGAAAAGATAGAACAGGGAGACAAAGACTAAATGAATTCAAACTTAAAAGCCCACGGATACAACTAAAAAAAGACTGTGTTAAGCTCCTGCCTAGTGAACAAGCCAAGACTGGAAGTCAAGGTGCCATGGCGTCCAAAATTGGCATGTTGGAAACTAGGCATAACGGGCTGTCCCACCCATTGCTCCCTTGTTGGGAGCTTACAAGAAAAGCTGTTGGGAAGAAACATTAGAAGACACAGGTGCTGGCTGGCTGAAAGAAAGAACAGGAAGGAACAAGGAGTAGTCCTGTGGCACCTTAGAGACTGACAAATATATAGAGTATCATGAGCTTTCGTGAGCAAAAACCCACTTCTTCAGATGAGATGAAGGGAGTTGCGCCCACACAAGCTCACAATGTTCATAGAATCATAGAATCATAGAATAATAGGACTGGAAGGGACCTCGAGAGGTCATCGAGTCCAGCCCCCCGCCCTCAAGGCAGGATCAATGTCCTTTATATCTTTGTTATAAAGGATCAATGTTCTATATCTTTGTTAGTCTCTAAGGTGCTACAGGACTATTCCTTGTTTTTAAAGTTATAGACTCACACGGCTACCCCTCTGAGACTTTTTAACAGGAAGGAGCAAGCTTCATCATCCTTCATGGCTGACATTCACATCATCTTCCATTGCCTGGGATCCACCATGATATTGCTGAATCATCATCTTGAAAGATGTTCTGACCAAATCAGACCCAGAGGGGGAACAGAGGACACTGCCATCTCTACTGGCTCTGGCTAAATCTCAACCACCAACCAAAAGGTCAGATTTGTTTGTTCCTGCCCATGTATTCTTGTGAGTCCTTTTCCTCCCCCATCTTATTTCTTCCTCCTACCTCTCTCCCCTTTTGCCTTCTTTCTAATGTCAGCCATTGATACCTGCGACCAGGCATGCAGCAAAAAGCAATGCCCTTAACAGCCCAATGCTGGTCCCAGTTTGCCACCTCTCAGACTGGCTAAGACAGCTGTGTGACTGCAAGCAATAGTCAACACCAGAGACAGAACCTGCATTTGCTCTTTACTGTTCTCTCTTCCCTCATGCGTATTTGTTGTTTTGTCTTTTAGGAAACTGGAACAGATTAATAGGATCAGCCCAGCTCAACTCCCTTTACTCCTTTCCCCAAAAGGGCCATTACTACCATCAAAGAGCCTCTCTCCAGTTTAAGAGAAAGGGAACAAAGGACATTGCTAAAATGAAACCTTAATCTACTAGGGTATGTCTACACTTGCACCCTAGTTCTAACTAGGGATGCAAATGTAGGCATTCGAAATAGTCAATGAAGTGGGGATTTAAATATCCCACGCTTCATTAGCATGATCTCGCCGGCGCCTTACTCTGATCAACAGCGGTTTTGAACCAGGAAGTGCACACCGGGACACGTTAGTTCGAACCAGACCCCTTGGTTCGAACTATCGTTACTTCTCATTTTTGAGTCCTGGCGCTATTTAAATCCCCGATTCATTGACTATTTCGAATGCCTACATTTGCATCCCTAGTTTGAACTAGGGTGCAAGGGTAGACGTACCCCTATATATTTGAGAAAGTCTGTTCAAGAACTCTCCCTCTACAGTAAGAGCTAGGACTACCAAAGTTAATACACAGCTTCCTCTTATCCTAACTTAAAGCAAGGTCAGGGTTTGGTTGTGTCAAGACAAAGGGAGTGCCTGTAACGGGATTGCTTCTCATAAAACCACACAGAAAAAGAAACAGAATCATCAGGCAGTTGAAAGGGGCTGCGTGGGGATTTACACCCTCCCCCTATCTGGGACTGCCCTAAGCCCAGGTCTCCCTCCCCGCCCCCCGGACCCCATTTGGGAAGGGTGGAGAGGACTGAAGCTCCCTCCGCAGCCCATGCAGGAATATTGCTGGCTGTTCCTCTTCATCAGGGAGTGAGGGGAAAGTGCACAGTTTGCTGCACTCCTCACTCTGCTGGGGAATGCAGTGGGCAAATAAACCTGGACCAGCCAGGGGAAATGTACCCCTACCTTGGCTGTGCCCACTGGAGCTGCAGCGACCATGGAGAAGCGTTTCTCACCTGGCCGCAAGCTACTGTCCTGAGTGGGGGCTGGGGTAGTCCTCTCTCCCCAGGGCAGCCTGTATACTGAACCCCTCCTCCCCAGCCCCACCCCAGAGTAATGATTTAAATGAAGCAGGACATTTTTGTTTTATTTTCCAAACCACGAAAGTTAATTGAATTAAGGATCCAAGCAACACTGGGTTAAATCTTCTAGTACTCTGTATTATAAAGACTTTAACTGTTTTCCCTTCTTTCCTGGGTGTTCAATAATAGGTTACAAAGATTTTCAATTCTCTGTTTGCCAGAGTTCTAAGCATGCTGAGGTCTTGTATACTGAACCTTTTAAACAAACATTGTTTAATGTTGGAAAGTGACCCAGTCACGCTAACATCCTTGCCTCCTTGGGCCCATATAGCCCATGTAAATTAACACAAGTGTCCCCTTCCTGGACCCATTCTTCCCTCCATGATGAGCAGAGCACGCCAGCTCATGGGGGAGTTTGACCATGTTACCAGCTGGATGCTGTATCTGATGTCTCCCCTGAAGCCATATTGCTCTGCAAGTAACCTCTCCACTGCCTTCCAGCAATGCAGTGCATGTCATCAGAGCGTGGGTGGTGTCAGCATTTCCATTACTAACCCATATTTTCAGGGGTTTATAACTTGGCCATAAAAAGCTCACTCCACACAGGAACTTGGCATGCACAGAGTCTCAACTTCTCAGAGCTGGTTAGGGACAACACAGCAAACTATACCCAGAAGGTCTGCATCTTCACAGTAACCCATAACCACAGCATGAAGAGGGAGAGCTCTTTTTGCAAGGCTCGGAGTTGGGAAGGGGGAAGAGATCCAGCCTTACAAAGCTACATGCCACACAGAACGACAGGATCACCCATCACTCCATCTGCCACCCCATCTCTGAATTCTGACCTACAGTCTCTCCAATAGCGCTGCAGTGCCAACCCCAAAAGGAACCAACGTTGAGGTCAGAGGCAAAATGAGCTTGCTAGATCTCATCCCAGCTTTTTCAAGTGAAGATCTGGCCTCAGCGCAAAAAGCCAACACACAATTTGGCACAGTCCTTGCCCAAGAGAGGCTGAAGACTAGAATGATCAGAGAAAGGGACAAAAAAAGAAGAGACTGGAGGACAGAATCGAAGTTCGTCAGGGATACCTCACAAACCAACCTACTGACATGTATCTGCTAGACAGGGCTGTCTGTCTTCTGCTTTCAGAAATGCCAATGCTAACTTGACAATGCAATTCTATGGGAGCATGGAGTAATACACACGCACAAAACCAGAAAGGAAATCCAGCATTAAAAAGGATAGCCCTCACAATGAGTCATTTGTGCTGTGGATTCCTTTACTGGCTCTTGTCACAGTCAGATAAGCAGCCCATACATCTCAATCAACCCAGCTGCAATCAGGATCCAATGGCTGCTCCAGATGTTTCATGCTTCACTTCCCCTAATTCTCCCCTCCTC